CATATTCTACTATACTAATAGTAGATACACACACACACACCCACTATATATATACACACACACACACACACATATATATATATATATAAGTTGGAATATATAAATATATGTATACAAACACACACACACACACACACACACACATATATATATATATATATGTATATGCAAATGTATACATGTACACACACACACACACACATACCTACACACATACCTACATACATACATACATACATACATACATTATATATATATATATATTCGCTTGCGCACAAAGATAGCAAGCAGTTATAGGTGAAATCTGTACATACCCAAGGAGTCAGTAGTGGTTCTTTTCTTCGGCACCCCCGCACTGCTTACTGAAGCAGAGGATAGCCACGCTTTCAGTGTGCCGTCTCCTTTACTTTTAGCTTTCCTTCGTTTCGTTTTAGTGGACATTTCCGGTGGAACACGCCGACCTATACCCGGCTCTGACCCCGTCGTCTCCAACCTCTCCCTAGCAACACTCCCATCTGCCTCCATTTCTAGTCCTGTACTAGCTTCGCCCATACGTGGTCGCACATCATCACCATCCACTCCTACTCCACCTCCATTGACATCCGTTCTCTTCCTACACGTTCCTATCTCTAAGCTCGTGTCTTCGTTTATATCTGCCGGCAATTGTATATTTGTCTGATTTGCGTCTATATCTATATCTATTTGGGCCAAACTACTTGTCTTATTTGCACTTGTATCTACCAACCGCTTAGTAGCGACGTGAACAGATGCCCTGGGATCGTTCGATGCCCGCTTCCGTGGAACAAACGCAGTGCGTAATGAGCTTTGCTTCATCTTGAGAGGCTTTAATACTGGAGGGTTGATGCAATTCACGGATAATGATGTTTATCTTGAGATTATTTACATATATTCTTGATATAGTCCTTGTACAATCTCGAGATAGCTCTCATATAATCCAGAGATACTTGCTATATAGGAAAGTGTGTGAATTTCCGGAGAGAGTGAAAATCCCTTCTCGCCGGTGTGATGGTTTATAAATATTGAGACTTGGAAAAGGGTGCTTCTATAGATAGTGCTTTTATCCTCCTTGTCCAGACTTTCACATATTCATCAGCAGTATACTTATACATATATACAAGTTGCCGAGTATTATGTGGGAACACACTCGCTGGTATGCGTATTAGTACGTAGGACGCATACACAGACATCCGCGTATTTTTTAGGTCTTGTAGTCAAATATATTTCGTGTGATTGTGATGACTGATGACTTCATCTGTGTGTTCACTACATAAGAAATCCATACACGAAAGCTTTTGAACCTGAGCTCATCTAAAATTACACTCCAATCAGAACTGTCTAAATATGAGATGAATCCTTTTACGCGGGAAAGTATGACATACCGCCGTGTCATCTATGACTATCTAAACATAAACTGTCTCATAGTCTCACATTTACACTTTTTTTTACAAAATAAATAGTACTTCCACATAAATAAATGCATATTTATACATACAGTTTGAGTTCAAAAGACTATTTAACAGCTTGCAATAATATCTCGGAAGTCGGAGCTACCAGATAGATCACACTCGCAGTGGTGATCACAGACGGTAACCGTCCACATAAGCTAGTACGCACTGTATCACTACACGCAAATCTGTAGTACACATAGTTTAGACATTTAGACATTCATTAAACATGTCTCGTATCAGTGAAGTGAGGCGAAGTTCCCCGCAGACAGTTAAGCTGTTTTTCGATTTTATATCACCATACGCGTACGTTGCTGTGTTAGAAGCTCAGAATCTCCAGAGGAACCGAACTGATGGTAAGAATGAGAGCCAGCACTTGACTCGATTGTACACTTTGATCATATATATATATATATATATATATTTGTATATGTATATGTATATGTAAATGTAAATGTAAATGTAAATGTAAATGTATATGTAAATGTATATGTATATGTATATGTATATGTATATGTATATGTATA